GGGCACAACACGGACGAGTGTTTGAGTTTGTTAGCCGCATTATTGTGTTTGATTGGCCATCCGCAACTTAGAAAGTTTTACCGCAATACCGATCCCCAGAGGCGAGGTCCGGGACGTCAGATCGAACCCTTTGATGAAGACGATGAAGAGGACCGAGGTGCCATGCCAAAACGCATCCGACAAGGAGACAAGGAAGTATTTATGTTCACCTCGGAAACGCCCGATTCAGACTTTACTGGAACTGCCCGAGGACGTAAACAAGGTCGATCTACTGAACCGATGCAAATCACCGTCCATCGTGTCAATATCAATAACTCCCGGAGTACATTGTCCCGTCGACAGATCAAAGCCTATGCCCGACAAGCCTACAACTCCAGCAATCAAGTGTACACTACAGATTTGAGAGATATCCTCAACAATCGGAATTGTCCCATAACTTTTAATATGGAGGATGCTAATCACCTCGCACACCCTCATTCCGACGCACTTGTTATCACCGTCCCAATATGCGGAATCCCCGTACATCGTGTTATGGTGGATACTGGGGCCTATTCAAGCATTTTGATGTTAAAAGCTTTTGACAAAATGGGACTTGATCCCGCCGACATCCGACCTTTCAATGATCAGATACAAGGGTTCAATGACAGTATTTCGAAGCCTATCGGCGAGATCACTTTACCTGTCAGATTCGGCACTTCAGAGAATGTCACCAAGCTCGTCATGGAAACTTTCAAGATTCTGGATATTAATAATGAGTACAATGCCATCATCGGCAGAACAGCATTGTATAAACTTCGAGCTGCAGTTTCGATTTTTCACTATGCTCTGAAGTTCCCGACTACACGAGGAGAAGGGACACACTTCGGAGACCAGAGAGAAGCTCGAGAACTTATTACATTCATACCATCTAGCGGCGTCCATTCCACCTCGACAAACAACTCTCCATCACAAAGCGTCTCGAACGACACGGCGTCCGAAGAACCGAACAACCACGTCAGTGATCCTTCCACCTCGGATCCTTTGACCGAAGACTGAGGTCGTCGGCCTGGAAAGGAGCCACTTCTTGAAGAGGACGAGTTGGACACTAGAGCCTTGTTTAAAGAAAAAAGCCGAAGTGATCGAGCCGAACCTGGAGAAGACGTAGAATTGATCTATATCGATGAACCAGTCTTCCACAAATCATTGCGTATTGGAAGTCATCTTCAAGAACCTCTTCGGTCAGAACTTATCTCGTTTCTCAAACACAATTCTGATGTTTTCTCTTGGAAGCACGAGGATATGAAGGGTATCGACCCCGGTGTCGCTAGCCACAAGTTGAACCTCGATCGAACCATCCGGCCTGTTGTGCAAAAGAGAAGAAAACTGGGGCCGGATCGTCAGAAGGCATTGGAAGAAGAAGTCAAAAAACTCATCGACAACAAGTTCATCAAGGAAGCCAAATACCCGACGTGGGTCTCAAATCCTGTTCTTGTCAAAAAGAGCAATGGGCTATGGAGACTGTGTATCGATTTTTCCGACCTGAACAAGGCGTGCCCGAAGGACAGTTATCCGCTTCCCCACATAGATTATATGGTCGATGCAATGTCAGGACATGAGTTGATGAGTTTCATGGATGCTTACTCGGGCTATAATCAGATTCCTAT